CAGGGTGTTTATTAATTTATATCCAAGGGTCGGAATGCCTAGGTGATTTTAGAAAGAAAAGTTAATATGAATATATGTCTAACACTCTACAATTGAAAAATGTTATTTAAAACATTCAATTAAGAAGTGGTCAAAAAAATGCTTCCACGCATGATAGACGCCTATGAAATTTCAATAAATTGCTAAATACTTAATGAATTTTTTATAGGGGATTTCAAAAATAACTTAATTTTAGGCGGTGCCGCACCGCGTCGCTGCTAAAATCTTTTGATGAGAAAATTATGATAGATAGGTTATGATAAGTTTATTAACTTGTTGCATACTATACTCCTGGGTAAATTTTTGTAAAACAGCGAGTCCTTAGCTAACAGATGACCCTTGACAATCTAAGTTCTCCCTGTTTCATCAGGTATACCGCAAGGTTCTGTCCTTAGACCTATATTATTCTTAAATATTTCTGATATTTATTCATTAATCGAATATTTGAATTTACATTTATTTGGGGATGACACGCAGCTATTTTACTCCTTCGATCCTAAATTATTTGATATTGCTTCAATTTATATCAATTTGGAATTGCAAAACTTATTTCTATATTTTCAATTAATTTCAATAATTTTCAACTTAATGCTACAAAAGTCCGACTCAGTGCGGCTTTTTCCACAAACAATCTATACATTATACATTCAGTTATTAACGCTAAATGCTCGAATTGACTGGCGACAGTGTTTAGTGAAGCGGTTGATGTAACCCATATTTCCCAAGTATAAAAAAAAATAAAAAATACTTTTTTGCTCTGAAATTATTTATTTTGTTTGTTGCACTTGTGCTACATGTGTCAATAAAATAATAAAAATTTGAAACATACAAAAAAAAATACAGGTGTGTAAACGAACCACTGAGAAAAAACATTAAATAATGTTTTGGGGCACATATAACATATAATTTATACATAAATATACAAAAGGAAGTTCAAATTCGACAGAAAACAACTAAAAGTAGATTGTTTTGTTTGATTCGATACAAAAAGCGCAAAATATTTTATGGTGCGTGAACGCACCGCACCACTGGTAACACCCGGTTTCATTTTTGGTGATATTTTACAAAGCATATGCATATTACACTTATTACAAACGTAAATTGTGTGCCTGTGGCAAATGCTACATCTTCTTCGGGTAATTGTTTTATCAGTTTTTAAAAGTCGCAAAGCAATGTAAGACTTAAAGTCAAATCAATCGCTTCGTCATCAAAAAACATAAGAATTATTTCAAGCGAAGTTTTTCCAGAAAGCCTATTTTTTAGTTCCTCACATGGTCTAAATTCATCGGTGTGTCAGTGTACTCAATCTGACCTTTCTTCCATTTGGCAGTAGAAGCAAGCCTGTCGTTTGTAATTCCTTTTGAGTCAAATACCTCGAAAATAGTATATTTTATGAACTGCACAACAAACTAATACTAAAGAACACGCTAATTGTTAGATGTTTATTCTACATGCGCTGACTTGTCTAGACTTGCAATAACAAAGTTTTGTTTCACAGATAAAACCAGTGGTGCATTAACGCACCACTGGGACAAAATGGGTTAAAGAGACTTTTCGCACCCCCGACCAGCGCAAATTGGGAGTAGGAAGTAGAAAAATGTATTTGTTTTTTCCTCAAAACGTTAACACCCTTACCAAATAAAATGTTCAAATTCAATTATCACCCTGTATAAACGAAGATGAAATATCAGCAAAAGAAGCCGCTTAAACTAAAGACAGTTGTGTAAAGCTTCTATAGAGGAAGGAGGAGGAGGAGTGATAAAATGAACTTCTGCGTCAGTATACATAAAAATCATCCTAGAGTAATCGAAGAAAAAAAAAGAAGGTGGTGAGCGACTCAACCCGTACATCATTCTCTCAACTCCATCGGCATCCAAAGCAGAAAGAGGACAGAGAGAACGGACTCGCAAGCAGAGACCGAACCGGTTCCTCTGTCTATATACGGTCGAAGATTTTTAACCGCCTCCGCCCCTTTAAAATTGAGATTTTTTCCCGATGCCCGCGCGAAATACCCGAATAACCTGTTTGCGACCGTGTGTCGGATTATGTCGTCGTCCTCGTCGTCGTCGTGGTCGCCGCATAGTGGCGGGAACGGGATCGCAGGTCGATTCCGTCTTAATTTCGTATGGGGCGCATGCGCGCTAATCGAGACGAGCAGAGTACGCGAGCGAGATGGCGATAAATTACCCGCCCGGCGACCATATGAACATTTGCAAGACGAGAATCGACCACCTATATGGGATCTCGCGAAATTTAAATCAACACCTTTTCATTTGAATAGACAGCAATTATTTAAATGGTCGGGAGCGGTAGCACCCGTGGGAACGTTGCCCGTTCGGGAATTTTCGCTGGTAGGGTTTTTTTTTTTTGGGGGGGGGGGGGGTGATATCCGCTCTGCCGAATAAAGACTTACCGAGGGATTCGCGTTGCGCACTTGTCACTCCGCGAACACGTGATGTACGTTCCATTTTTGGAACTAGGACTCCTCTTGTTAAACTTTTCTCTCCATATAGTATTTTTCATGGACGCTATATATGTCTATGACCTGTGAACGTCAGACATGGAGTAGTGTGAGAATGCCTTATTTTTTGAGCCTTTAATTTCGCATCCTTTAAATTAGATATATTAATAATTTTTCACAGCGATCATGCCATTGTTAATTGAACTTTTTTTCTCGGCAAGACGCTCTGCAGGCTTTGTTTTCTATGTCTTCTATAAGAGATCGGGCGTTTGTCTGTTGTTTAATATGGTAAATAGTTTAGTGTCATAGCTACGTTTTCATCCACCCTTTGGAACTATAATATAGGGAAGGCTGATATGTTCCCGGAACCATCTGCAGATACTTGAGCAAGAACAAGACAAATTCTCCTGACCTGCAGGTCTTTATGGTACCTACTCGATATCGCTAGGTCTGCACGTCTACATGTTCCCTTCTGGTTCTGGAACTAGTGAGAGGTGGAACTCTGCGGAGCCATCGTAGTTTTTTAAGACATGAAAACTCTCGGCTTTGATTTGCAAGCCATTATCGCAAGTCCTCTGTTTTGTTTTGGACACTGTGAGGTACAAGGCGGTCCGTTTAAGAGGGGCCTATCCATTATCTCGAAACCTACGGAGGTTTTAAAAATAAATAAATGTAACAGTTGTTTCTATTAAAATGACGTTTTATTTTTTTTATTTTCCTAATCGTCACTTTTTTATATACAGGGTGGTATAACAACGTGGCACTTTTTTTTTATTGAACATCCTATATTTTATTGCATTTTTGGATACGTAGTCCTTTCAAAGACAAATTTAACGACATATATGAGAATGGGTCTGCGATGAAGCGTTTCGAACTTCGAGTTTACTTTGCAACTTTGCAAAATTATACTTTTCTCAATGTTCTTAGATTTTCGAATGACCACTTTAATAGCAATTTCATCGTACGGGTCGGTGACTTACCGTTTTGCCTTAATTGGCAGATAAAATTAAAAACTGGGTTTAATATTTAAATTATTTATTTAAGTTATCAAGCCTTCTGTGTGTTTTTTAGGAAATTATGTACAGCGAGTTGTGACAACGAGAAATTTAGCATACCCAGGCGTTCTTAGGATTAATATTGACGATATTTATAAGCTAGAAAAGAAATCAGTCGACGACTTTCCGAGGCATTTAACGAAATTTGGAAAGATCAAAAAAAGAAAAGAGTGGGAAGGAGGGAGAATCGTTGGTCCAGCATGCCAGACGACTCGATTTATATACATTCGAGCAAAACTAAAAAATGACGAATATTTGCCTGAAGTTTTGCCGGAGTTGGTTTCTCGGTTTGTTGAAACGTCGTCGCGGCGCTAAATTGCCGGCGCCGCCGGCCAAGAATTCCGTCGCGTTGCACTTTTCTAATAGCCAAAACAAAAGTAAAAATTTATCGTGTCGCGCGCGCCACATTCTCCGCGTCGGGGGGGGCGGCGGACGGGCGGCGGCCAGAAAGATTGAGACGGCGTGCGTGTCGGAAGGAGACGGAGCGAGCGGCGAGGTGCATTTTGCACGGCGGTGCGCAAATTTCGCGTACGCTATAAATATTGGAGAATGTCTGCAATGTTGATGCCGGCGTGGCGGCAGGCGCGTCCCTCCTATGCGCGTGGGCGGCCGGAATGAAATAAGAAAATGACGGTCATGTTTGGGTAAAAGGATTTTGTTTTTCGTATTGGTGACGGTGGGGAAGAAGCAATAAACGATTTTTAAAAATAAGTGTTCGCGTGCAATGGTAAATTTAGAGATCGTCGTCACTAATGGTTGATATTACCTTATGTCTAAAACAAACGCTATTGTACCAGTTGCTTGGTAACTTCCAAACGGGAGGAAGAAAGAAAAAAAATCTTATGCGCGTATTAACTGTCCTGAGAAAATGCAAGAGATGTTCTAATTTCCTAAATGAATTTTTTCTGCCATTAAGCAGCGATATTCATTAGTTAGCTGCTAAAATTGCATTCGTATTCATCTAACAATTTATTTATTGGTGTCGATTGAACACCTTCAATGTGCTTATAAAAAAAGTAAGGTTGGATCAGCGATTAAAAATTTGTATTTGCAAGGGTATGCAATTGAAATTGCAATTTTAATTTTAGACAAATGTATAGCCCAAATGTTTGCCCAAAAAAATTTACTTTTTCTGAGAAGTTATTGAATCAAAAATTATTTGAAACTTTTATATGAGTATTCATGACGTACTAGAGCTACTAAAGACCATGTTGGAGTTATCTTTAATACATTGTTAGCTTCTTATAATAATATGGAGAGTGGTCATGGATTTCTCGGTCAATGGCCGTGTGCCATTCAATAATTTCGCTGGTCGGTGGGGGGGAGTGGTTTGCGAAAATTTCCGGCCTGTGATGGCGATATGGAGCGCGATAACCCGTTGTGGTCGTGCGAGGGGAGTGCGCGTGCGCCGTTTTCCCCGGACCGACCCGAATGCAATGTATTTCGCGGCTCCCTAGACGAGTTGCAAAACAACGGATCTTTCGGGGTGCACAGCGACGTTGCATTACTACACACACCGCGGAGGTCGGTACAACAACATCCATTTATTTTTTTTGGCAAACGGTCCGTCAAAAAGGAACCAAAATTCGCCGAACAGCATTCCGTGTTTTCTTTTTTGGTTTTCGTTTCGTTTCGTTATCCGGCCGGGACGTTTTCAATTCCACCGCCGCGTTTCGTTTTATTTTTTATTTTTTGATATATCGAGAGGGAGCCGTTTTTCGCGATCAAATTGTGCTAAGTTTTCGATCACTTCCCGATGTTAATTATCGCCGTAATTGTTAGTGTTACTAGTTTTGGTTATCTAAATAATGTTTGTTGTGTTTGTTGATGTGTAAAAAGTGTTTAAGAGTTGAATTAACTTAAGCGAGTGGTAAGTTTTTAAACGAAGAGCTTTAAGGGAACGTGGGTGTATCGAAAACGCGATCTATTTTTATGCTTTCATACGAAAATAACCCCAAACTGGTCGAGCCGGCCAAGCCTGAATCTAGCGTTATGCAACCAACTTTACACCGTCTAACGGTCGTTTTTCATATTATTCTTTGTCGGTCGGAATTTGTGCGTTCTTATCGGGCCGGCGACGTCGGTTGTCGTCGAAAATTCACATTTTCATAGTTGGCGGCAAGAAAATTTCGCGAAAATTGCGCGAATGGTTCTCCTTTGCGTGATGCGGCACGCGTGGTACCCGCGTCGAGGCTAGGGTCGTGCGCGTCGCCGGCTAAACCCCGCACCAGCGGCGCTGCCGTTTCACGTTTTGCCATCGTTCGCGGCCGCCATTTTAATTTCACCCAAAAATCTAACGTTGGATTTGAGGGGCCCCGTCACCCGATCAGTGCCTGGTTTTCATAACCGTTCGCGTCTGGTAAGTAGGGGCCGCGTGTAGCGGCCCCCCTTGGCCGTCTCCGGTCCGTATTTCGCACAAATTTAACCGGTTTGGGTCACTATCGTTTCGCGTGGTTGTGGTGGTTATAAAAAATGGCCGACGCGGATGTGTCGCGAAATTGGACGACCCGCGGGAAAAATTCCGGTTGCTATGACGATAGAGGGAAAGTTTTCCGTTCGCCGCGTTTCTTTCCTGATTTTGTTCTGTGTGTACTCTAGAAAGGCGACGCGGACCGCGCCGTTCAATATCCGGTTTGCGAAAGCGCGGGAAATTTGAATGCGCCGTTATTTTCGCGCTAAATTTAGACGGTACTCCCAAGATATTTGTCCTCTTCCGAAATTTAACGAAAATGTGGTTTGTTGAGCGTATCTATGGTTGGCAAGTCGAAACCCATAGGGCACCAGTTTTGTTTTTTTTTTTTTTCTAATCCGCGGAAACGAGTTTAGTTGCGAATAAGTGGCATGGATTTTTTTCCGATTCCGTTTGCTTTGTAAAATTTTGTCACAATGAAAACTGGTTTTCGTTTTTCAACATTAGAAGGCAGGTTAGACGTTTTTTTTTATAAAAAGGTCCGTTGAGAACCAACCATTATTTCCTCCCATTTCCAGTCCTAAGTAGGTCGACCTTTTCTTTGCTTTCGCTTCCACACTTCAAATCGGGTGCGATTGTCGAAAAAAAAAACGATAAGTGATCGGCTGTTGACCGTCTGATCTCGCGGCCTCCGAATGAAAAGAAAAAAACGTCTGCCCCAATGCTTCCAAGGCTAAGGTTAACGGCCCGTCGTTCAGAGGTGGGAGACAAACGAAAACGAAAAATCAAATCGACCCATTAACAGACTGCCGTGGTTTTGTGCCCTTCCTCAGCGCGTCTAGATGTTTGGGGTGGGGCTAGGGGGATAAGGGGACCTCCTTGGGGACCTTGCAGCCACCGGAATCGCGATCGATACTTGCATGCTAGTGATGCAACCGTAGTAGAAGGCTGGGGGTGTAACGTTGGTTGGCGACGAATTGCGACGTTTTTTTTTTTAAATGTCTATATATTTTTTTCGATTGAAAACATGGCGAATGTTCACGTTTTTTGGGTGATTCACAGATTCGCAGTGATTTTTACTGGAAACTACCTCCACTTTCCTTCAAGTTTTTAGATTTGAGAACATTTCGCTTCCAAACTTTGAGAGTACAAAGCAGTACTTTCTTTAAGGTCATTCAAACGTTTTAAATTTAACTTGGAATTGTTTCTCAGTAAAAAGAAATTATTTAACGCTTTTTACTTTGTACTGAAAAGTCTTTTGAAAACTGGGGATGTTCCCAATAATCATTTATTGAAGAATATAATAAATATATTATATAGAATTATTGCCCTACATATTGCAATTGATAAATGAACGTCACAATTCGTACGGAAAAGTAACGCTGTGAGTATAAATTCAAGATTTGCCCAGAATCCGGTAAACTGTTTTTCGGGTAGATAAGCGTATTTATGCTAGATTGAGGATGCGCTAGAAAATGATTATTGAATTGTGGTAAGTCTTAAGTATGTGGGGGGGGGGGGGTCGCTTAATAGCGCTTAATTGTCTCTCATCGCCGTTTGGGTTCTATTGAGGTCTGCAAAAAATGCCGTTCAAGCAAAAAGCTGTTTATTTTGTCAAATCTTCGTTCCGTTTTGTTCGTGCGTGCGTACCACAAGCATCGCAAAATATGGATCAAATAATGCTGTCGTCCAACCAAATTTACAAAATGGACACGTTAATGTGGGTCCTGCGGACTAGCGAAAGTAATGTTGGCCCCCTATTTAATTCTACCCCAGCCTGGGGGAATCCGAAAGTACATAATCGGCGTTAATTGTTTTTTTCAATTTGTTTCAGCTATGGCAGAAGGTAATGGTGAAGTAACAGAAGAACCAATGAAAATCGAACCCGAAATTACAGAGAGAACCGAAGACTATCAAAAATTATTAGACTATGGCCTGGATGAAAAGGTGAGTGCAAGGTCACCTTCCCAGCTCGTCAAGCCAATTTTCAATGCAAAAAATGATAAAAGTCAAAGAATTTTTTCTTTTATGAACGAGTTCTGTTATTTTACCATGATTTATTGACAATTACAACAACAGTAAGCATAATATTAGTTAGAATAAAGTAAAGCGTGCATGGTTTTGCAGGTGGCGTCCAAACTAGACGAAATTTACAAGACTGGTAAATTAGCGCACGTCGACCTAGACGAGAGGGCGCTCGACGCGCTCAAAGAGTTCCCGGTAGATGGCGCCCTCAACGTGCTCGGTCAGTTCCTGGACTCGAATCTCGAGCACGTTTCCAACAAGTCTGCGTACCTGTGCGGCGTGATGAAGACTTACCGGCAAAAGAGTAGGGCCGGCCCGAGTCAGGGAACGGCGCCGCCGGTTGCGGTCCCCGTCAAGGGGCCCGACGAGGAAAAGATCAAACAGATACTGGACCGCACCGGCTACACGCTTGACGTAACGACAGGTTCGTTGTCGATTCACGGTGGCGTCCTCTTCCTATGTTTATAAGATATCATTTGATGTTGGGTCGATACATATGGCCACCATGCTTTTACAAACTGAATGCTTTGTTGCATTGACATAATTGCAAACTAGATGTTACTCGACGTAAACACTGTAGATTATAATATTTTTTTCGAATCTCTTGAACTATGGAGAGACTTGTATTTCTATTGCCAAGTTGGAAGTTTTCTTGTTTTCTGCAAAATACTCTAAGAAGCCGTTTTGATAGTTTGATGGCGAAATCACCGTTTTTTTTTTGTCGTGAGCCATGATTAAAAGATCATTTGGTCCAGACCATTTTACAAGTGAGTGAGACCTCTGGCGAAAAAAAAAAAGTTAAACTTCCTAAATCCTAAATCGTTTGAGACTCCACAAGAAACAATCGCGAACTTGATTAGATCTATGCCTAATCGAGAAGATATGTTATTAGGACATGCCCATTATTGAAAAATAAGTCTTTGAGTTGCTTGTGCAGTTATATACTATGCTAAACCTAGAAAGCAGAAATTAATTTTAATCAATTTAAACTTGTATTAAAGCATATTAATCTTTCAAACGGCATTTGTTTGTATCTGATTAGTAGTTTCTATGCACGCAAATTTGTTTGCAACTTGCAATAAACCGGCGTTAAAATTGAAGACACCCTGTAAAAATGCCCTTTTAAGTTATGGGTTCCTCTAGCATACATGCTTTGGGTTTAATAAACGCCATCCATCCACATTGCAATATAAATTGAGAGAGTGGATTTCATCGTCAGATTCTATTTTACACAAACCACACACTACGAAAACTGTTAACAGAGCCACAAATAATGCTTCGTTGTCGCTTATGCGTGCAAAATGAGCGGTAAAACAAAAAAATATTAGGAAATTGTTTACTGTCGGTAGCGCCACCGTCAGAGAATAAATTCCCGTATCTTTTAGGTCAAAGAAAATACGGGGGTCCGCCGCCGCACTGGGAGGGCAGCACCCCCGGCGCCGGATGCGAAGTGTTCTGCGGCAAAATACCGAAAGACATGTACGAGGATGAGCTGATCCCCTTGTTCGAGGAGTGCGGGACGATATGGGATCTGAGGCTGATGATGGACCCGATGACCGGCACGAATCGGGGCTACGCTTTTGTCACGTTCACTACGCGAGACGCGGCCCAGGTGGCCGTCCAAAAGGTGAGTACGGCGAGAGTGCGTGACCCTCGGCGTCCTGAGCTGTCGTTCTGTCCCGCCCGTAGGAAAACGGTACCTCGGGACTTCTGTTTTCTGTTTTTTGGGGGGCGGGAGGTCGTTATTCGACACCACCACCACAACCTGGTAGGAAAATTTGGCTTGGATAATGTTTATTCCGCGTTTCGGTCCGCTTCTCGTCTGGGAGCCCGCGCGCTGGTGTTCTTTTTTATTTGTCTTGTTTTTATAGATGGCGCGGGCCCGCCGCTATAGACGAGAGGTAGATTCGGTCGACGCGTTTTGCGTTATTTGTACCTAATTGGCGATTCTATTTATAGATGTGCGTGTCGCAGCTGTTGTCATAGCCCGGCAATTTATTTTTCAGTGTGTGAATTCTTTTGCAGCGGCTCTGACCACGGAGCGTGCGTTCCCGATTAGTTCTGTCTCTCTTTCTCTCTATCTCTCATTCTGTCTCTCTCTCTCTCTCTCTCATCCTCCACGTACACATGCTAGAGCCCTCTATTCGATCGAGGCTGCCCTGTCGACGTCAATATGTTTTGTTTTGTAGTTTTGCATTTTGTCCATTTTTCGCCGTTTCTTTTTCAAGCAAAATTTTGTTGTTTGAAGAAAAGGAATGTCTGATTCACGTCGAGTGGTCTATTTGAATTTCTAGAAAACTAAATAGTTTTTTTTTTTGTTCGATTTTGGTATATAAGCACAGTGCGTCATGATATCTACAGTGTTTTCAATTTCAGTTGAAAAATGAAACGGAACACCATTCCGGGATTAGCTAATATACGTGACTGGTGGTAAAAAAACGTGTTTTTTTTTTAATGCAGCCTCTATATTTGATATTACCGTTAAGAAGTTCAATAATTTAAAGTTGCCGCTGTGGAACTTTCGCAAAATCGATGTAATTTTATTGAGCAGACACTCAAATTCAAAATTATGGCAAACTATGGTAAATATAAAAATTTGTACCAGTAATAGCGATTGACAATGATATTTTTATTCAATTAATTATCTCGCGCACCCTGTACAGTAAATCAGAAAATTGTAGCTCTCGACTCAATTTATGGGACTGTTTAAACCAAATTATCCCATCTTTTGACGTTTTTCATTTAACGCCCACAAAAACGGAAATTTCTAGGATCTTTTAGATTTTTTGCCCCAAAACGGTACACGCTTTATATAATTCAAAAAATGTTAGAATTAGACGTTATAGCACTGGATCTCCCTCGTCGATAAATTTTTCGACTAGTAAATAATTTTTAAGCGCGAGGAATAGCGATTTTGATATGGATTTTTTCAAAAATCTGGTGCAGCGTACAAAAACTAATATATTATAGCACTGGATCATCCGCGCCTACTGGTTAAAGAATTTTGCCGATCGGGTTAATCGTTTTGGAGAAATTTTTTTCTGAAAACCGAAACAACCCAAAAGAAATTCAAAAATTGAAATAATATATTTTGCGACATTTCATTGTATCCAACTTCAAAGGTTTACACGTGAGTGGGGACTTCTACCTCTCTACCAAATCTGAAGTGGGTAGCTGCTAATTTACGGCACCTATTAGGTTTTTTTTAATATAGCACAACAAATTTTTTGATCGCATTACGGGTATTCGAGAATTGATTTTTTTCTTGGACCCTCGCAAACGCGATTTTTATTTTTTTAAAAATACTGTCCGACACCCCAACTTGCCCAATTTCAATAGGTTCCGTCAGGAGACGAAAGGCTATTCGCTTGCCAGCTTTGAAGTCGATAGCTTCAAATTTCGGACACTTATCGTGTCCAAAAACTAACAGTTGAAAATTGCGAAAAAAAATATTCCGACTTCGGATCCTGGCTCTTTTTCATAGGCTTATGTGTTTCGTGGAGGGTCAAAAAGGAGACAGATCTCAATTTCGTACCTCAAACGGTTCCAAAGTTATTCCGGAAAAGACGCAGACAAAAAAATTTTTTTTTTCGCCTCCGATTTGTTCTGTATACCAATGGCGGTCTCGTAGGACTTGCCGAGACCGAGATATCGATTTCATGGATTTTTTTATAGTAACAAGTTTAAAATATCAAGATTTACATTGTCCATTTTATGGTTTCTTTTTCCGTCCTCTATTTAAAGATATTTGCCATTTAAATTGACAATCTTTTTTGAATATTGAACATCTTAACGAAAATGAATTTTTACTGTTATTCGTTTTTTTCATCCCTGTAATATTATAGCTAGCTCACGTAAAATTAAAATTACGAAACTTCTCTCGATTAGGACACTCAAGGTGAATCATCCCTTATAGAGGTCACAGAAATGATTTGAGATCGCTGAAAATCTCAGCCACTCTATGTCTAATAAATAAATCGAACTATTCAGTTCGTTTAAATTTTGTACCGCTCACAAATTGACATTGACAGGCAGCAAATTTTCTACCGCGTCTACAATTTGGCTCATTACCGTCTTTTTTTTTTTAATTTTTTTTTATGTATATAAAAAAATGGGGTACTTCGGCTTTGGGCGCAGGATTTGTGGTGGTTTAACGACGGGAAAAATTGCTGGGATAATGTTTTGTCTACAGGTCTCCTCTTTGCGCGCAAAGGGGCCCCAAGGATCCGACCCCACTCGGTTTAACAATTTTCCCAATCGTGGTTTTTTCTTTTTTTTTTGCCTGTTGTGCTGTAGGATTGTGCGTTTTGTTTCTGGCATATTATTTATATTATTTAGGGCGTGAAATTCTCATTGACGCTAACACGTCACCCTGCACAAGCCGACACTATATATATATTTCTGGACGTTTGGCGTCGCTTTTACCGGTTGACGTGTTTTTAATTTTATATATGGGTCCCTCGGTACGATCGGTATTTTGTTCTGAGCCAAATTTTTGCGTTCCGGTACCAAATGTACCTTTTGTTTTTGTTTCCGGCGGGGTTTGCGGCGATCGTAAAACCGCAAAACCGCGCATAGAGTAACTTGCGGAAATTTCAAATTTCCATCGAGGAACGGAAAAACCAAACTTGACAAATCGCAAACTGCCCCTCGGTCGAAGTTTGAACTTTTCCCCGGTTCATTTGGGTCCAATCAAAATTTCGCCCAATTGTTTTGGATCGAACACAGCAAAATTCGAAATTTTTTTCTTTTCCTTTTTTTTCTTTTGACCCGCAGTTGGATAATCACGAAATCAAACCCGGCAAGACACTGAAAATTAACATTAGCGTACCAAATCTGCGGCTATTTGTCGGCAACATACCAAAGTCTAAAGGCAAAGAGGAGATACTGGAAGAGTTTGGTAAATTGACAGGTAAAGTTTGAAACGAACTGACGAAATTCCGTTTTTTAAAAATTTTTGTTTTAAAAAATGAATAATTTTTTGGTCAAATTAAAACGAATAATAGTTCAGTGGCGGCCGGCTGCCGGGCTCTTTATAAACACGTACACACACACACATACACCGCAAAACCCCGACCCCTTCCCCACATCGACCCATCGTCGCCCCCCACCCCCCCACCCGACAACACACGTAGAGCTCTCAAACTCAAAGCCCGTCCCACCCCATTTGCCCATTGGCACACAAAATTGGCTACCCATCCACTGTTCTTGCAGCTGAATGATTATGAGATAAGGAAAGGCAAAAAGATTGGCGTAACCATATCTTATAACAATCACCGGTTATTCGTGGGCTATATACCAAAGAACCGTGACAGGGACGATCTATTGGAAGAGTTTTCGAAACATGCACGTAAGTTGACGGCAAAAATTATGAAAAGAAAACAAGAAAAAAAATTATTCCCCAAAAATGAAAAACATGAATAAAAAAATTGTTAGGCACTCGGGAGAGATTGCGTTTTGCTTGCTTGTTGTCGAGTAAATTTGTTTTTACGATTCCTTGGTTTGCCTGTGAGCAATGGGTAGGGCGGGGCCGCTACTAGCGCGGGAAAACGGCCAAAGTTCTCGACAACACCAAACCCTTTCCGGCCCTTCACCCTTCCGTTTTTCAACACTGTCCGACTCCCCCCACCCCCCTCCACAATTTTATTTAAGAACGACACAGGGGGTTTACAATTTACAACTTTTCGCCGGTTTGTTAATAAATTCCCTGGATGTTAGAATAGAAATTAATCGCTCGTAATTTTATATTCATTTCACATTAGAAGCAAATAAATTTTTTTCATGAAAAATTCTTTAATAATATAGTTTTTTATTTATATTTCTGCAGTTGTCGTGTAGTAATGTTTGCAGTCTGATTTTAAGGATACCATTTTTTATTAAAAAAAAACAACAGGAGTGTTTCCAATTCAGACGTCTTGTTGCTATCCCCCTCCTCCCATTGCCCTTCCGTCACGGGCTTTTCGTTTTTCTAATTTTTTTTAACGTCACTGCACCTTGCTCCCTCCCGCCTTTGGTCGTCGTCCCCCGCTTACAATTTCTTCTTTTGTTTTGTATTGCGAAAAAAAAAAACAATTTAATGGAACAAAAACACTCTCGCATTAACCTCGACCATTGCCGCCCATTTCCGCGCGTCCCGCGGTACCACCGATTAATGATCTGTCTCCTCGAACAGCCGGTTTGATGGAAGTAATAATCTACAGTTCGCCGGACGACAAGAAGAAAAACCGGGGCTTCTGCTTCCTGGAGTATGAGTCACACAAGGCGGCCTCGCTTGCGAAGAGGCGACTCGGAACGGGACGCATTAAGGTTCGTATAGCGATATCTGGAATAGTGTCGGAACGCCGACCAATTGTTCGACCTTTAGGTGTGGGGGTGCGACATAATAGTGGACTGGGCGGACCCACAGGAGGAGCCCGATGAACAGACGATGTCCAAGGTGAAGGTGCTCTACGTCAGGAACCTCACGCAGGAGATCACCGAGGAGAAACTGAAGGAGGTGTTTGAGGCGTTCGGCAAGGTGGAACGCGTGAAAAAGATCAAAGACTACGCATTCATCCATTTCGAGGACAGGGACAACGCGGTCAAGGTATGGGCGGAGCTTCGCTGGGTTTGGGGTGGGTGTGACTAAAACGGAGCCGATCATTGTCGGTAGGCAATGGAGGAGTTGGACGGCAAGGAGATGGGTGGGTCGAACATCGAGGTGTCGCTCGCGAAGCCGCCGTCGGACAAAAAGAAGAAGGAGGAGATATTGAGGGCGCGGGAACGGAGAATGATGCAGATGATGCAAGTCAGGGGCGGGTGAGTACTAGTTGATTGTCGCCGCGCAACCAGTAGGCATCTTCGTATTGCCCGTCGTCAATATTTGAATTGAGGAACGGTTGATCGGTGCTGGGAAATTAACTCCCGCAAATATCCTTCGGGCTATCGTTTGTTCATCGATTTTCCGAGTGGAAACGCGGGATACATTCTCCTTTACATTATTTTATTTTCAGTATACCTTTGCCTCTTATTTATATTTACATTGCTCGAATGATCGAAAATAAATATCTTAAAGATATTAAAAGATTAAAGATATTAAAAGTAATAGAGACTTTAGGACTATCGGCCATAATGATCAGAAATAGCTACCGGAAATCAGAAATAAATACCGGAATCATTTTATATCTGAAGACCATCAGAAATCAGTCATTATTGCAATTAGTTTACATTTGAATACAGTCAAAAATTGTAAGCAGTTTACATTTGATTACAGTTAAAAATACTCTATAAGTTTAATTCCGTAAAATTTCCTGAAATATATGGTGTAATAAGTATGCAGGTGAAGAAGATCAAAAATTAATGCAGAAAATAATTGATACCTATAGACAATGAGAAATAAATACTGCAGTCAATTGAAGATGACCAGAAGTAAACAGGGTAATCAGTATCCACCTTAAGGTGATAAAATTGAATACTTTTGATCAGTGGTCACCTGCAGATAATCAGAAATAAATTCTGGAAAATGATCAGAAGTAGATCTGATGATGATCAGACTTGAATGTTGAAAAAATAAATTTAATAAAAATGTGTATAAACAAACTTGCGTGCATAGAAATCGGCATACTGCAAATTTTTGTCTTTAGTATATTTTTTCTCGAAATTATTCATCTGAGCCAAAAAATAAACATGCTATTTAGAAGGCGATTTAATATGCTTTAGTATGAGTTTAAATAAATTTGTCAAGAGTGCTGGGCTGGATCTTATATATGCGTAGCCATGGTTAAAGAAATGAAACTTGTTCATGCGATAGTAATAGTGATGGTAACAAACTTGTTGCAGACTTAAATTAATCGCCTTTGCAACTGGAATTTTCGCATTATTCGTTTTTAACCATAGAATAGAATAATTGTGTTAGCTTCATCCATACTACATACTACACCGCAACTCCCCCCAGGTTATCGCAAAGGCATATTACATCGGCCCGTGACGACCGCTTTTTTGGGTCGATAATAATAAATGCCGTTCAAGTGCAAAATCAATTGCATGAAGTTTAAATAAATCAATTAATCAGTGGACACTGAGAAGAAGACTGAAAGAAAATAACCTGACCCCAATCGGCCCAAAACTTTCTCCAGTTCATCGACAAGCAATTGGACATTGGACCAATGTTCTCAGATGAGACCAGAATATGCCTTTTTGGAAGTGACCGACGAAAAAAAGTGTACCGAAGACCAGAAAACCGATATGCATGAAGAACGGAGCCTTTATTGAGGTGGTGGTTCCTGCATGATATGGGGTGTAATTCCTATGGACGCAAGAACCGACCCATGTTTTAATTATAATTTAATTTTAATCAATTTTAACTTGTATTAAAGCATATCTTTTAAACAGCATATTTTTTTGTATCTGATCCAGTAGTTTCTAAAAAAAAAATTAAATTGAAGTCAGAAGTTCACAATGGGCCCATTTCTATGCACGCAAGTTTATAAGTGCATTTTTGTACAAAGGAACGTGGGGATGTTCGCATTCTTTATTATTGAGGGTTGCTGATTTTTTTTAAATTTAAAATGGCAATGTGTTTTTCAGCATGATGCCGGGAGCGATGCCGCTGCGGGGGCCGCCCGGTCAAGGCCCGCGGACGGGGCCCGGCATGCGGGGTTCGATGGGTCGGGGGGACTACGGTAAGTGTCATTATCGGCTCGCAGCGTTTCGCTCGTTTTTTCCTTACGTCGCGCGGTCCCTAGTCCGCTTGTGGTCCGACTAACACGCGCTAGTTTCTCGCCGTTCCCGAGATACTAACGCCCGACCGACGTTACCTCGCTAGTTGTGTGAAAAAAAAATGGATTATCGGATTTGTCGCGGTTTCTGTCGATTGTATTTTCGTTTGATGTAACCCACGATTTATTTCAGGACGATGATAAGTGGGGCGTGGCCATCCAAGCTTTTCTCCAGTTTTATTTGTTAAATATTTTTGGTCATGTAAAAATGTTAAAATTTTAATATTGAAAGAGGAAAGGTAATCAATGCATTTAACCCCAAGATTTAACGCTACTTTTTAACAAATTATAATATTGGAACATTCAGCGATATGTTATTTAAAAGTTGACTTTGATTTTCTATATTAAAACATATTTTAATTTGCAGTTCAATGGTAGTGAAGTAGATTTCTTCAAACATATTTTGTTGTCGAATAACGACTTTCTACGTATTCGAATGCAACATGTATAATAAATTGTAAATATTATTTAAAGAACTCATGTGAGTGTATTAGGATGGGTAAAAAATGTTTTTTTTTTTTTTTTTGGATCTGACATACGAAAACTAGTTGCAGTTACCTCTAGAAAGTACTTACTACATATGAGCTCTTAATATTAATCATAGAGCATTAAGCAAAAATGTGATAATATGTCACAGTTCAGTGATGAATGTTCCACTCGATATAAAAAAGAAATCATTGAATTTGTTCAAAATCTTTGACCTACCGTACTTTGATGTTGACATTGCATTTATGGTCTTCAGATAAGGGTTATAAGGAAAATGAATAGTATTTCAAATAAATGAAAGTTGTAAATGACGCGGCAGAACGTGTCAAAGAACGTCGAGGACTATTTCCTGACTAATAAAGAAAATCTATATTCTTTCAATTTAATTCACTGAATAAATTGAAAATGTTTATTAAAAATCACGAATGTAAGTACCCATTGGGGGTCCAACGCAAATATCTTCAAAATGGTTCGAGGAATCGATAAACCACAAGAGACCTTTTTTGTGGTGCATTAAATTTCCTATAAGAATAATTGAAAACATTTCACGAAAGTCAATTCTGTCAATAACAAAATTTAGAAGTTACGTTTCTTACCATTTTTGAAGAGCTTTCAATATCATATGAAAAATTATTAATAATCTATTGATGTAATGAGGGTAATCTTACCATTAATATTAAGCGCTCATACATGGTAATCACATTCTAGAGATAACTGGCAGCTAGTTTTTGTGTCAGATGTGTATTAAAAAAATAATATTGACAGCATCATTTTCTTCCCAGATTTATGGAGCCTTTCGCTGACGGGTGATCTTATAGGTGCAATAAATCCGTTTTTGCAGGGATAAACAATTGCTATTGTTACAAAGGAAACGTGCCCTTGTTTTTGTCATAATTTTCTTAGGAATATGCCATTTCTAGCAGAAGAAATTTGATTAGACGCTAAGAGTAGCTTGTTCTGAGTGCTAGTCGACTGGTGCCAGTAAAATATGCGTCGTGGAGTAACTAAAAAAAAACTTGGATGGTCCGCCTACTTAGGGTTTAGAGCGGTTTAGACATGCACACGACTACCGCCCAAACGGAGAGGCCCGGGACTAACATTTCTCGCTAGCTTGTCTCTCTCATCTTAACACACTCGCAACCATCCCTCCGAGTCAGTATTACATAGTCGCCGGGGGCACCGCAAAAATCTATTGGCGAAAGGGCAACGTAAAAGCATTTGCACGCCGTCTTCGACCGTTGTTTTACCGTTTCCCAGACCCATATAGTTCGCATGCACTTCGTCTTTGTATATTAGTCCCGCCCCTTTCCACCACCCCCCGTAGATACCAGGTATGATGTGTGTTCCTCGGCGCCGCGAGGTGGTTTTTGCTTTTAGCGTTTTTTAGATGCTGATAAGGAGACCGGTAAGTATACATATATATGTAGAATCACCCCCGAGTAGATTCGCCCCTCCCCCTCGCCTTTCCGATCAGAACCGCCCCGCCCCCGACCCGTTGTTGTTTTTGCAGGTGTGGTTAAGGGATCGTGTCTTTTGGAGGCGTCCGCGGTTTAATTGTGTGCTTTAGCTCTCTCTCGGATCCGGTAGATTTTTTTGGCGCCCGTTGTAAAAACAAGCAGAGTACGACTTTTCCCGGCATGCCGTGCAGCTCCTCGTTTAATCGGTACACGATAAAGAAAATTCTCGAATGGTTAGTTAGAGGAGGAGGGACGGCGGTTATCAGAATTAGTAGGCACTTTGTTTCTAGAGGTAGAATTATTGAAAGAACCCGAAAGACCCGCAGCGTTTTAGATCCCGCCATAGTAGTTGGCTAAATTAGGATGTGTTTGTTGTCTTTTATAGATTACGATTACGACTATTACGGTTACGGGGACTATAGAGGCGGCTACAGCGATCCATATTACGACGACTTTTACCGATACGAGGATTATTATTATGAGTACCAGCCGACCCCGCCTGCGCAACCCAGAGGACGGGGCCGGCCAGCTCAGCCGGTGGGTGGCCATTTTATTTTTTCAAATTTTTCCCAATTTCTCGATTGTTTATTTATAGTCTCTTTGATTTTTTTTATAAAAAAAAAAAGAAAACTGTCGTACGTTTGCGAAAGTTCCCGTCCGCTTTCGACATCCCCCATCTCTCCCCACTTGGCGTCCCTTTGGTGTACGGCGGGCGTGGCCTAACATTTTTCGTCTTTTATTTGTTGCGTCCACTAACACGCGCCCACTTAATACGCCGAGACAGGACGAGAATTTTCGCAAATCGCCGCGGACGACAATTTCCCCCCCTTTACACACACACACACACACAGAGACGGTCTTTGGCTGTGGCGGAGTGTTGTCCTTGTCGAAACGCTACTAACTGGGCGCGCAAAACATTAGAACGCCATCTAACCACCTAAATGCGTACTAAACGACTGCTGCTGGTCTCTTTTTTTTTTTTTTTGCTGAGTTTGGCGCCGGTTCAGGGTCCTTGGCACGGGTTTCTCTCGAATTATTATTTTTTAGTCTTCTACATGGGGGTCCTGTTTTAACTGGCGACCATTAGATGGCGCACGGCGTGAGACATTTTTCAATCTAATTCCGTTTCATCCATTATAAGTCGGTCAAATATCACGTAAGGGATACCCGTGCAAACCGGAAAGAATCGGGGCTCGCGCGTAATGTGTGGGAACACAACAGCGTAAGCTAAGGAGAGAGATAGAGATAGGGAAAACCGCGCCGTGCATGTTCACTCGCCACAGTCAATCGCCATCATATCTGAGCCGACTTTTGCAAAAAATGACGCGGCCGTTGTACCATTTCGAGTGAGCCGGGAAAAGTGTCGAAATTTTCTTTAGAAAAAAAAAATGTCCCGCGAAAAATAACGGGGCGCCCGTAATTGAAGCCACGCCCCCTTAGTGTGAAAGAGCGAGTTCAAAGACTTTGGTAGGGAATCGAGGGAGGTGCGTCCAGTCGGTTACTTGGGAGGCTGGCTCAGATATGATGACGCTGTTGCAGGGTTATCCAAAAACGGGACGAGACAGCGTTACCCCCCAACGACCAATCCCGACCCGCCGCCACTGTTTGCTAAGCGCTCGACGGTGGTTTCTCGTCATTCCATCGTGTTTTTTTATTTTATTTTGTGGTTTAACGTTCAGCTTGGCATTGGCAGAAGACGACGGGAACGGCCCGCGATGGTCGTTCAATTTTATGACTTTTTCTTTATGTATTTTTTATTTTATTTTTTCTTATGGCCCAAATTCTCAGCGGATTCCAATAAAATTGAATGGACCAACCAAGAGCCTCTTCTACATATGATATGGTTTTTTCCGCTTTTTTTTTAGCGAGTGTCTAGTCCAGCCGCTATATTATCATTCGTGTCCCCCCATCCCACCTACCCTTCCACAGCGTTTGTGTTTAACACACCGCCTGCCGACGCCTTTGTTTTTAAATTAACCCCCCACCCCCCTCCCTCGTTTATTTATTTTTGGTGTTTTTTTTTATATTGTTTTGCCTGCGCTATGTGCTTTTAATTTTACACTCGTCTTAACGGATTTATTATTAGTTACCCGCTTTTTGTAGAGTGCTTTCGCTTATTTTTCCGCTTCGAGCTTCGCTTTTTAAAAGTGTTTTTTTTTTTTGTGAGCACTCCCCCCACCCCCGACGCGGCCGCGCCCTTTTTCCCACGTTTATTGACCCCTCCCATGACGATTTGTTTGCGCCGTTCTATTTATTTTATGTGCAGCAGTTTTTCTTTTTATTTTTGGATAATCCGTTCGCGAGTCGCCGACACCGTAGTCGGTGGTGTCGGGGCCCGTCTTTAAATTTTAACCCTCTGGAAATTACATTTTTAACGCCAGTGCTTAAGTGTTTTGTTACACTTAGGAACTGGACGAGGAAGACCTCGATGAGGCGGACGACATCCAGGTTTGTTGATCTCCTCGTGTTCAGCCCGTACCCGCTTCCCGGCATCCCATCGACGACACTTCTCCCGCCCGGAATCGGAACTATCCCATCTACGAAAGATAAAAAAAATAAAATCCACGAAATGGTGGACGAACGGTAGAAAAAAGAAACTACTCCCTCCTTTTTCCTTTTTTTCTTTTTCAATTCGCGACGGTCGACCCGACGTTGACGGTCGGCGGTCGCGACGATTTTTTTAGGATTTAACACGGATTTTTTTTTTGTTTTTCTCTTCCGTTTCCGTCGTCGACCGTGTAGGCTGGCCGTGGGCGTGGGGCGGCGGCACGTGGCCGGGCAGGTGGGCCCCCAGTCCGTGGGGGGGCAGTCAACCGGGGGGCGGTCCGGGGCGGAGCGGCAGGAGCCCGTGGGGTGGCGCGCCAAGTCGCTCGTGGAGTGGGCCGCGCCAAGGGAAATTTACCAGGTAAGACGTCAGGCCCCCCTTTACAACCACATCTATATTGTCCTCGCCTCCCGTTCCGTCTTTATTTTTTGGTTTTGGTTGGTTGGTCCCGCATTACGCGACCATCTACCCTACCCGATCTATATACATGAAAACGTTTCGCCGGGGTTGGCAGTGAGGTACTTTTGTCACCAACTATGATTGATCATTTTAAACATTTACAGACTGATAGGTACATATAGTTGTCTCGCTGTTTGTAAATCTATTGTCCGATTCAGTTTAGCCTGTTTTTATAGCCGCAGATGTTTTTCTGATAGAGTTCTCCAAACCAGATACCGTTTTTACGACATATCCGGTATTTAACTTTGGTAAATTTTAATGAAAGTCTAAAAGCAGGCCTACCTCGCTTGGGTTTCAGACAGGCGGATACCTTAATGTATTGTCACATCACCATCCGGCATAAAAATCATCGTTTATAAATGCTGTATTTTTTTTAATAATTAAAACTCGAGGTTTACGATTAGTAGGGAAATCTAGAATGCTTCACTTTGAAGTGTTCTTTTCACCATAATCGTCGTGAAGCGCTGACCGCCAACCCCGACTGTCCTTACTCAAAAACTGACGTCGCATACTGCGTCGAGCGTCGGGACGATCTCCGGTTGTCTCCCGATTTCGACGCAGCCGCTTGTGAAACGTCCCGTTTTCTCCTTTTTCCAGAGATGAGTGTTGCCTTTAGTGAAGTAAACGCGTAAAATAAGAGTCCCGAGTACCTCGATCTCTTGTTCGATCGCGATGACATATGGCGTTTGTCTCGTTGGAATGCAGCATGTATGTCCCCATTCCGTTTTTTTCGTATTTAATTTTTTTTTCATCGCGTTCGCCTTTTTTTTTTCTTTTCGGTTTTGCGACCGAATCCCGCCATCGCACCCAGCGTTATCCCATGCGGGGCAGTCCGTTTTTTTTCGACCGTCACGCGCAACATCGCTGGCAAATCGAACCCCCGCGATATCCTTCGGGCTTCTTGCGCTCGCGCATGAGATTTCCGAGCGGAAACGCGGGAGACATTCGCTTTTGGTCGCAAAACTGTAGGAAAGCTCACGCGCCGTCCTCGTATGCCAGAGAGCGTTCGTTGGTGACGTTCATATAGCTGTTAGATAATAGTATGGCCGCTAATACCTTTGGGACCGAGGATGGCTAGGTTGGTATACTTCGACCAGAAATATAGTGCTCTGTGATTAACTTTGCCTACTGTTTATTACTTCAAAACCGCAGTCCCTGCCGAGCAGACCCTTACCCGTCGCCATCCAGGACCGTCCTAGGAATTAATCCACCTACACTAACAAGCGGGATATAAGTATGTTGTCAATCTTTTTTCGCCGAGTCATCCTTGAAACATGTACATAAAAAAATTAGTACATTGCATTTCTCTTCTTCTCTTACCTTCCTCTTGAATATCCCATTTGCAATAATTTTTCTTACAGTTGACTTCGGAACTTTGGTCATGTCACTTGTTTTTATTGCCGCTCCTACTTCCCCTTCTGAATTACTTATAAAATTGCATACATTCAAAACAATTTGTTTAGCATCCGAAAACAAATGGATCCGTTTTTTTATTTACTGAGGCACTTCGTCTTTCAAATTTTCATTAGGTTCGACTACCATCGCCACTTCGCCTTGAAATTCTGCGTTGTTTTCCATGTCTTCTTCTAACAGGGGAACATCTGCTTCATTCCGCGGTCTCCAGGTTTTAAAGTATTAAAAAGCAGGAACTTTCAGAAAAATTTTAATTGTAAGATTCTAATAAATATTAATCTCCATTCTTATGACGTACCTTTATCGACCGCGAATATAATCTGCAGTCTTAAAAAAGACTGTTGTTGTTTACAAATCGAAGAACTATGTAGAAGGCACAAAAATACAAGAAAACTAATGTTGTTAATCGATAGGCACACACGACTTAAACTTAACCTGTAAGATAACTTAAACTTAACCTGTAAGATTCCTGCGATCCTGCGAAGGTCTGCGGTTAAGGTACTGCAAAACACTTAACACACCACTGCTTTAAATGCACTATATTTTTGGTCGTGTTATAAGGTGTTAGACCTGCCAACTCGACTTGGTTGTGGGTTCGATTCCCACCGGCAACCTTGGGTGTTATGATCGTTATAAATTTGTTTACAAGTTATAACTTGATTGTAACCTGGTCGAATTGGTTTTTTTCCTTTTGGAAAAAAATAATGGGATCTAAGCTCATCGACGAAATACTGCCGAAAAATGATATACCCAAAATAAAACTGTCTGCAGTCATGTTGATTGCTGAACGTCGAAAGGTGTAATTGGATAGTTTTGGTTAGGTTGCTTCAAACGTACACAGGGCCTGTGTGTATCAACAAGCTATATGGTGATGTTATATCCGAATCGGATCACACAAGGATATTTTCCGTTATGAATTGTCAAACTGTATAGGATGATATTCCGATACCTGCTTGCATTTCATTAAAATATACTTTCTTGGGTTGGAAATGAACGATGCGGTACTCGCTAGTGGTTCATAAATTACTAAGGGTTTCGTACACAGATTTCTGATGAACAGGATAAACCCACCACAGTATACTCTTAATTTAAGTGTTTAAATCAAAAGTTCTCGCTGTACTTAGATTGATGCTAAAAAAGGCTTTTTTTTTTAAACTTTGTTGTGGAAGCAATTAAAAAATGAGTCATTTTGAATAAAACGGAATTATGATTCACTTTTCGCCTTGTAGTAGCACACAAAGACTCCATTCAGACGTTCTTTAAAATACCTAATTATACGTGAGTTTCTTGTCTCACGGATCCGAGCCCCTTCGGATATTACCGCACGGTTTTTGGGAGCAATCGGATGTTTTGTGAGATTTTACCGCACGGTTTGAATTTTGACGTTTGTCAATTCTGACTGTCATGTCAGTGAATGTATTCGTGTTATTTTGCAAAAATGTATCCAAAAACTATCCGTCGTAGAATAAGTATAGTGTGCAACACGTTTAATAAACTTTTTTTAAGTCACTTATTTATTAAACTCGTGACTCAAATGCCTATTATTACCATTCATATTCATATGCGTCATGTAAAAAAACGAATGAGTATTATTTTATAACGTCCTACGCATCATGTTTTAGCTGAAGCCTTATATTATAATATACTTAAGTTTATTGGTACTTAAACTGCTTCTCTTAAGAACCATAACTATTGTCATTATAAAATGCAAAAATAGTCGTAGTTTTAGGGCTTTTAGTTGAATGAGTGACTATCAATTGAATTAAAAAGATTTCTAGGTCCCTAATACTATAATAATATAATATAATATAATACAGTCAAATATTGCATTTTGAATCTAATAATACAATAATAAAGATTTTTATATTTCTTTTTACAACGGGGCCAATTTTGTGGTTGTTCAAGTGTGAGAACAAACCTGTGACAGAAAACCGGCATCTTTTTGGTGGGGACGGTTCCTGAGCTTTTCCGTTATCTACAACTTGCATATATAAGTTTCGATTTGCGCACTCGGTGTGGGCAATTTAACGCTACCGTATAAACCGATTGGTGGCGGTATTGTTGTGGTCCGGACTAAATGAAGTTTTTTAACGCATGTTTTTTTATTTATTTTTCGGTTTTATTCCATTTGCTATTGCTTTGTCTAACCCTTACACACCTCCGCATTTCCATTTTTTTACTCACAGGTTCGTGCCACTTGTGAGAAGTTGAAAAAGGAAATGAGCTTTATTCGTCCGTGATAAAAACTTTATTTGATCCGGTCTATAATCGGTAGCTGGTGACGAAACGGTAACGTATAAGGTAAGCGTCGAATTCAAAGGTTCACAGAACCATATCGTCGCACAGCGGGCCAGGGAGAGCCCAAACCATTGAGAACCCATAACACATTTCGTACAAAGAACGTTTTCCTTAACATAGACTAACGTTTGTTGTCGGTGTCATTTTGAGAATATTTTATGTATACAATGTTCCGTGTGAAAAGTACAGGGGGATTTTTTTAAAGAAATTAGCTTTTGACAAAATTAAAAATTCTACATCTTGCTCCCACATGCTCCATTTTATAAAAATAATTTTTGAGGAAGGAAAGGAAAACATTTTTCTCCTTTAAGTTTTGACCTATTAACCTATTAATATATAAATTTGTTTTTTTTTACAGAGGAGTATGTACCTTAGGTTTGATTCATGTAAGACATTGTTATTATTTTTGGCATTTCAATAGTGAAAGGTGTTGTCATAACTATTGTTTACTATGGGTTGTCATGCTCTTGGGACACTAAGACTAACTATAAATCAAAACCTTAAATGCAATGCAAAGCAATAGTTAAACTTTTTTAGAGCTATGACTAATGCAAAAATTATAACAAAAGCAAAAGAGCTGAATGATACTTTAGGTCCTAGGTCGCCAACCTACCGGTAGCTCGCGGGGGCAATCCGGGTAGCTCTCACAACGATTTTAATTTAAAAAATACAAAAATCAGAGAAGCTTCAAAATTTCACAAAAAAAATCTAATTGTCATAGGTAGGTCATAGGGGTAGGTCACTGTTTATTCCAAAATTAACAAAGTAGCTCAACACATTGAAGAGATGTATAAAAACCCTGTTATTGTTTTATTTCGTTCCTTTCAAGCAAACAAACTTAAATATTTTCAAAAACCCGATAACAGTATTTTGTGTTAATCTATATTAAATTGTTGTTACTTTTGGGACACCCTGCATTTTTTTTATTTACTTAAAAATGGTTCTAGATTGAGTTATAAACCGTTTTAATGATTTAACTAAAAACCGTTTGTAAATATAGAGTTTTTTGTGAACCCCCTGTAAAATAATTATATTGTACTAAAGTTTGATGTCCCTAATGTTTTTTTCTTTTTTGATGTGTTTTTATTAATATTAAGTAAAATTTATTGGCATTACGAAAAAATTGATTTAGTCAAACATCATTTCTCTGGCCCACTGCGTCGGTTTGACGCTTACTAGGTACTAAATCCGTGATGTGTGATTCGTGACCGAAAATGTGGTTTCTTTAACATATCGTTTAGCAGGTAAACGGAAGTTCGACGGGGGTCACCAGAACCAGGGGGAGACGAAGCGCCGCTTTCAGCAGCAGGGCGGCGGCGGTTGGGGCAATCAGCCGCTGGCCCAGCAGCCTCTGGGCGACGTGAACGGCGAACAATGGTACCAGGACTCGTACGGGGCCTGGAGCTAGATGGCGCGACCGTCGGACGCGCGAGAGAGAGCGTGAGCGAGTGCTAGCGTGTGAGAACGAGCGCGTGAATTGGGCGTGACAGCGTGCGACGTGTGCGCGCGACAGCCCGCGAGGCCCTCTGGTGGCGGCGGCCGTGGAACTTTGCAATGGACTCTGTCGGCGACGACCTCGAGAAAGCTCCGACGTTCCGGGCGTGCGGCGCGCGTTCCGAACCCGACCGGGCGCGAGCGACACCTAGCGTCCGCAATAGGGCCCAACTCTACCACTTAGCGAATTACGTGCAAAATAGCGCTTTAGATAAATAAACTAATTGCTAACGGGACGGTTCTCAAAGCCTCGACGGCGTGTCGCCCGCGCGTCAGTCCCTTTTCGGCGCCTAACCTCAAAATTTCCTGCGCGCGCGCGCGCTCCGGCGAGTCGGCGGCGGTCTCTCCCCAACTGTCGCGGATCGGAATTTCTTAAAAAATTTGCCCGTCTTTGCCTTGTCTGCATTCGTTCGTTCCATATGATATATGCATAATTTTTTTTTTGTTTATCAAATTTCAAAATCGTTGTAAAGCGACCCGGTCGTTTTGAAATTTTGAACGTTTTTCGTTTTTAATATTAAATTGTATGGTTGTTCTTTGAAAAAAAAAAGTTTTCTTATTATTAAATTTGACTTGTTTGCGGCCAGCTTCCCGCCCCCGGCGGGGGTGGGAGGAGCCTCGGTTAATAGTCGTCCTGATCGGCGCTTGTTTTTTTTTATTACGTAATTTGACGTCGAAACAGCCGACCGTCACCGCGACGCGACGCCTCCGCGCCCGGGGGCGGATGCCCTTCAGCCTGCTACGCGTTTCGGGTTTTTTTTTATCGGCCGCCCCTCCAGGCGGAGGCGTCGCTGCGCGTCGGCCCGAATCGGAAAGGGAAACAAAAAAATCCCACGCAAGGATCGGCAGTGATCTTTTTTTTATATACATATTATATATAATATAATTATATATTTTATTCTCTGGTGATGCATTTTTTGCATTGTGATGATTGTATTTTAGCGGTAATTTAAGGAGTTTACGCGGACATATACTTCTGTTTCAAAAAGTATCTACACGATATCGGGAGAATAGAGCGTGATCCCTCCCTCAACCCCCTTCGATGCCACAACAACCTTTCACCCCGCAATATAGCTCCTCTGGATAACAAAAAAAATTGCCGTGTGCGGGCCTGACCGACTCACCACCGATTGCAATTATTTTTTTATATAGTTAAACTAACGTTATTGTTGTTTTTTTTTTATATTTTCGATTTGTTTTCTTCCCTCCCATCTACCGTTGCCGTAGTTTTTCTCACATCACCGGTTTATTTTTCTCTTTGGTCACCACCATCACCACCACACACACACACACACACACACACACAGAACGTCAATTATAAGATTTCCCTCCTTTTGTACTTTCGTCCTAATTAATAATTTTCCTCGTTGTTAGTGTGACGTAGCTAATGATAATTTTTTCGATTGACACATATATAGAGTTGTACCGTCTAAATAATAACACGAACCTATTGTCTTATACTTTACTTGCAACGTTTATTTTTTATTAACCACACGGAACATGGAAAAAATTATTTTAAAAATGAAATAAAAAATTAAAAGAAGCATACCACTGTGGAGGCAGTGGTCCCGTCCCGGGATCGCGCCCCCGTCGAGTCCGGATTGAAGCCCCGGCCCTGCTGCATTACTGTTTGATATAATAACGTCTTAATCAATATTTTGAAAAAGCGGACTGATGATTTAATATGTCTCAATAAACAGTTGTATGTGTATTACGATTTTAAATGGTGTTTTATTTTGGTGCCTCAACCTTCCCAGATCTCGACTGAGGACGTCAACATATTGAAATAAGAGTTGGTGTTTTTTTTTTTTAATTTTGCTTGAAAATGAACGTTGATGTAGTTTAAAACGTTTTTTCGAAATATTTCATGTGATTTAAAACTTGTTTATGGTTTTACGAGCAGTAGTTGAAATGTACCCTTTTTTTCAATTTTATAATAATTTCATCTCCAATTAAGTTACCCAAAAGATGCAAAAACGTTTCAGAGAGATCATCATATACGTTTTTTCGAAATATTTCAAGTCATTTGAAACTTGTTGATGGTTTTACGAGCAGTAGTTGAAATGTACCTTTTTTTTTCATTTTATAATAATTTCATCTCCAACTAAGTTACCCAAAAAATGCAAAAACGTTTCAGAGAGATCATATACATTTTGTCGAAATATTTGAAGTCATTTAAAACTTGTTCATGGTTTTACGAGCAGTAGTTCAAATGTACCTTTTTTTTTCCATTTTATAATAATTTCATCTCCAACTAAGTTACCGAAAAGATGCAAAAACGTTTCAGAGATATCATGTCTGCCTGTAAAATGCTTCCAAATTTATGAACATGTCTGGTTTAGTTAGATTCTCATTTAATTTTTGCGGCATTTTAAAAGGTAACTGAATTAAAGTTGCAAATACAGTTACGCCCAAAAGCACGTACGAGACGGTCGGAGGTAATAATCGAAATTTTAAGGGTAGTCATTTCTTGTTGAAGGTGAGGTAATTGCTCACTGAACATATTTAAAAATATAATTTTTCAGAGCGGATTTCGTCAAATGCGGATAATTTTGTATGTATACTCCGAAGAATGACAATCTCCAGCAAACGAGGCGTGTTAATGTGCTGCAAAGTTTAATGCTGCTGCGACGTAAGATTTCCGCCAGGAGGAAATCTTTAACCCAAATGACGTATCGCATTAACACCCTTTCGACGACCCGATATGCCGCGCCCAGCGGCTGATGCGCCAACAGGGTCACATTTTATTTGCAGGAAATTGACGCAGGATTAATCTAGCAGGAAAAAAATGATCCTTCGATCACTGGTAACGGGTAGACGTGTATTTCGTCTACTTCAGGGGAATGAGCGACCCTGCCTACGTGAGCTCCAGGTTCCCCAGCTGACCAGGAGGATGGGGAACCTGCTGCAGAGGTATCAGAAGGGGATAGGAAATCTATACACAATGAAGGTCTAAGTAGGGGATAGAAAATCTGCACTCAAGTAGGAAGTCATGGTGCCATAGTGAGCTGACAGAAACAAGATAGGTAAAATACTAGTAGAAAAACAAAAAGTTTTCGTGCTTCGTAAGCACAACTAGGAAGATTATATAAAACAGCTTTTTTTTTAGTAGTTTTTTAGTATCAACAGTTCATCCAAATAATATAAATTTACTTTGGTAGCCTAAAAGAAAGGCATCAGTGAAAATGGATCATACTTTCCGATATTTAGTAATAGAATTTTCCAGAATATAATATTCTTCTTTTTAAAGATTTTCAAACAGATCCATGATATAGCTTTTACATTTTTATTATTGTCAATTTATGCCCGATAGGTATCAATTTGTTTTAGGAGTAATATAGTACAGTAGTGTGAGCTATTGTCGCCATATCTTAATTTGTTATATCAACGTTCACAATTTGTGAGCTATTCGAGATATATGTCAATTTGTTTTAGTAGTTCAACAGTTTAAAATTCATTTTATACAAGCCACTCAAAAAATAGCCCACAACGGCTTTTAAAAAATCTTTGCTAAAATTAACGTTTTTTTCGATGGGGACGGGGGTGTGGAACACCCGTACACATTTACCTTCGCGGGATTTTCAATTTTCGTTTACCCTCTCGCCCGCAGAAGCGCGATGTAAACAAAAGAACGCTGCGACGGATAGGGTGGGGGATACCGAGAAAAATTCGGTAACTCCTATATAAGGGATACACACCCAACACGCGTAACGTATATATACACTATCGGACCCAAGCGAAGCACCTTTTATGCGATAGAGTTAAAATCTTTCATATTAAATTTGTTAGGAGTCGTGTCGCTATAATAATAATCTAATAATAATAATAATACTTTATTTACCAAAACATTAAATAATATACAGTTAATCTACTTTTTTATAATACGGAAAGTATAATACAATAAGGAATGTTCTGATTTCTAGCTTTCACAAACCACTCAAAACATCTTTTGTCTATGGCAAAACCTTCCTTTTTCAAAAAATCCTTCTTTTAATTTATGTTAGTTCCAGATTGCCATTTACTTCTTTATTTTTGGCTATTTCAGCTGCTTGCGTTTTCCCAATATTAAACCCCTTTGCCAAATGACGAAGTGAAACACTTTCTTTGTCTAAAACATAAAATTATAAAATAACTCCAATATCAACTACGAATCTGAAGACAAAACACGACATTAAATGCAGGCTAGCAAACAAAATGTGTAAATGGGGAATCACCTAATAAAAAACGGGGAATTACCGAATTTTAATAAAGGGAACTAAAAATCTTCCGGCTATTAAAGTTTCGTATCCGTCTATGGGAGGTTTTTGGGTCACTTTCAGGAAAAATCTAGTGTCCGCGTCCGTTTATAAAAGCGTCCGCTTATCGGAATGCATTCAACATTGAAAATGATATGCTGAAATTCTGTTCCTGGAACTTTGTCCGGTTAAAAGAGATGTCCGCAAGTAGAACTTTCACTTTACCAAGAAAAGCACAGTTTGTCTATTTTAACAGACTTTTTTATTCTGCGAAAAGGATTGCCAATTGTTGGATTAAAAAAAAAGGCTTTCTTTAAATCGTTCATCACTTTTGTCCGACAGTGTATGCAACCGTTGACTTGCCGGCTTCCCCCTTGGCTCCCCTCGCCTGCGGACGGTTCATCCGTGCGCCGCCGCCGCGACGTCCGTCGTCGTCGCCGTCGCCGACCGCTCCCATTCCGACGTTGGCGCGCCGATCGAGCGGGTGGCTGATCGTCGAGAGCGGCCCCCCACCCACCCAAAAAAACGCCCTGTCCTCCGGCACTCTTCCGCTATCCGGACGCCTAAAACGACGCGAACGCTACTACGATGTGCCTGGTGGCAGGGGCGGGGCGTCCACCGGTCGCCCTGTCCTGACGCCTCGGCCGAGTGTGCCGCCCGAAGCCCGCGAGTACGAGACATGAGCTGCCGCCGCGACGGCTTAACGTTGTTGTTGTTATTGTTGTTGTGACGTTTTAACATAGGCGACGACGACGCGGCGTAAGATGGCCGCCGCCGACGAGGCCTTTTTGGACGCCCTGACGTCGTGATTATAGGGTAGGTCGAACGGTTTGTTGTTTTTTTTTTGTACCGCCACCGCCGTGCCTGGGTGAGTAAGTGTATCTTTAATCCCTCAGGGAACCACTCCCCTGTGACGCTCGTGAAACCGGGACGGCGGGGGCGCGGTCCCAAGAATTTCGGGGTTCTCTTATTTTCGCCGGGACGTCGAAACAAAAGAAAACGGTCGGTTCCGCCCTCTCTGCTATCGCAAAGATGATACGTTCAAATTTAAACGTTTCTTCGACGATTTGAATATCTTTAATATCACTCGATAAAGAAAATCTAATTGAAATTTTAAATCGAAGCTCCGGGAATGGTTTGGTATCCAGCTGACAAGTCAGCGTGAAGCGTGATTTTTTTCCAAAAAGGGTTCTCCTCGGGTTTGGAATTTGAAATGCAACCTTGACCCAAATATTTCGCCATCAAGATAAGTTCCCTCGGCTGACATCGAAGTGACACCCTAGATATGCGCAGCCGGCATAAACAACCAACGACTGGAGGAGGCGATAAAATGGTTCCACAACATCACGCCCTGTCGAATTTCTTAGTTGCTAAAACAGAGGTTAGGATGGTTTTGTCACAGTTTATTTCACATATTAACAGAAAATGGTTAAAACCGAGGTTAGATAAACTTTAATGTTTTCAGTATGTATCGAGTAATGTACCACACTTCAAACTTAAAGGTTGATGAGGCGAGAGTTGACTTTTTATTTAGATAATCTATTATAACTGAGCCAACCAAAAAGTAGCGAAATGTCGAACCCGCCCAAGTTGTGAACCTAACGAACCCTGCGTTGCCACGTGGACGCTTAAGCGTCGAGAATTTTGTCGCGAACGGTTTCTATCGGACCCGAAACTTACTGCATTAATCCTTTCATTGTTTGGAGGACATCGAGAACTTGGCGGCGAAGTTACCCAAAACTTGCGGCTTTTTGGGGTGGGGAGGGGGGCGCCGATTTTGGGTGTGGGCTTAAATGATTCGACGACATTATACGTTTTCGGACACGAACGTTATGCGTCGCGGCCACGGACGGTCCAGTTTTGTTATCGACGCCCGTAATTAACGATGGCCCGCAAATCCCCGGATGATTCCGTCTTTTTCAGAGTTTGACAAATTCCGGAGAAAGCGATAAATTCGCGGCGAGTTTTTGGTGTTTTGCCAGCCGATCGTCGAATTTTTATCGTCCCGCAATTTGCTGGTTCTGACGCCCCCCCACCTTTCAGGAGAGTAGGTGCCGACCATTGTGTTATTTCGTCTCGTTCGGTGTTCGATTTAAATGGGGCTGCGAATTTAGGCGCGCTAATTTTTAACAGAGAGTGTTATTGATTTGACATAATTTAATGGTTGAATGTCCGGGTCTTTTGGCGAGATGTTTAATAAAGCAAATATGAAAAAAAAGACCGAATTATTCTTGTATTTATTAGCACTACGAAAGGCTCTGGATTCATGGTTGGCAAATTTCAAACACCACGAATGCATCCCTCCTTCATTACAAGGCACGTAATTGTTATTGGTTACCACTTTTCCTGTCACTGCTACAGAAGATTTTAATAGTACCACTAATTGACTTTATTATCTATTAATCGAATCTGTCTGTTGATAATCAACTAACCAGATATCGTACTTTTTGAAAAAAGTGAAGAAAAGTGTTTATTTTTCATATTAAATTTCGGTGTGTTTTATTGTTAATTTTGCTTATTTGATATTTTCTTTAGTAAAAACCGCATTAGTCACTTTGGAAACGAAGTTATTCGACCTAATGTTTATTTTGAAACTCCAGTCCACAACTTTTTCGTTCGTTTCGACATACATTTAGTTACATTTGCAGTTTCAATTAATCAGATGTTTTCGTTCTAGAGGAACTCCTTTTGTTTTACAAAAGAATATTTACTTTTCATATTAAATTTTGTTTTGTGGTTTGTTTTATTGTCGGTTTTGCGAAAGTATTGGAACTTTATGGTTATCTCGAAACGCCAATCCACAACTTTTCTGTTTACGACACACATTTTGTTACAGTTGTAGTTTGGACAAATCAAATGTTTTCCTTCGGAAGGAACTTCTTTTGTTTTCGTAAACAATATTTAATTTTCATATAAAATTTTGTTTTGTGGTTTGGCAAATTATTGGAACTTTGTGGTTATCTCCGTACGCCAATCTACAACTTTTCTCGTTCTCTCGTTCTCGTCGGAGCCGCTCAGAGCGAAAGACAACGATTAAGCCGTCAAACAAACGGACCGTGAACGTTTTTAAAGGGCCCCGCCCTCTCCCAAGGCGAAAATTTGTGAGTTACGGTTATTGAAATCCCGCGGGATGGCCCGTTTTTCTTGCCGCCGCCGCCGTCGTCGACGTTTTTTCCTCCTTTAGTTTCCCGCCCGACTTCTTTATTTATAAGGGGACGGATGTTTTTCTTGCATTAATGAATCCTAATTAGCCGTTCCCCGGGGACCGCGACCGTTCACTAATCCGGCTGTGTTCGGGATGTAATTAGGGATCGTAATTTCTTTTTGCTCGTTTTGGTACTGAATCGAAATTTTGCCGTATGTACGTAAAGCTGAACGAAGGAATGGGCGTGATCTGCCGCGTTTTCCGACGGGGGTTTAAGATGAAGAAGGGTGCTTTCACACTGGTATCGATTTATCCGTTATGGGTGTGAGTGTGTGCGAAAACTAAGACCGTCTAAACGGTTTATGTATACGTGGTATTCCGAGTTACTTGAATAATAAATAAAAACGTTAATATACTGTTTGCAATAATATTATGACGTAATATTGTCACATATTCCTTAAATTACGCCTCTGTAAATCGTATTGATACAAATACCGTACTATGTTGATAAGCTATTTGCTCCTCTGTGAGGAAATATACTAATGGGACGGAACTTTGTATAAAAATGAAAATCCCTTCAATATGCTTTGATCGATGTTGGGGTATGGTAAGGAGGGCCTGCGAAATTTAAATTGTGAACTGGGATTAAATTGAGATAAAACTATAATCACAAAAAACTTCATAGTGTCTTGTGAAAGGAATTAAGTAGCATAGATTAACTTGCTAGATGTAGCCTTTAGTTTACTAGTAACATGCGCTCCAAACTTCAGGCCATAATCCGATAGCTGCAATAACTAACCAGAAATCGATTTATTTTTCAAACTCGGCTATTGAAAACAGTATTTTAGATCCCTCAGAACTTGGGGCCACGAAATGCGAAATAAAAAGCTTGCGAAGCGTGGAACGGTGGGGGACACTTTTAAAAATAATGCCGGCCATCTATAAAATAGACATGAAAAATGCGAGGTAGTTACCCGCAGCTGCGTTTCGTGTTTCGCACAGCTAAAGGGCCCCGCCTCGCCGCCCCATGCAGCGGCGGCGTTGTCGGGGCGCACTATGGACAAATCTTTCAAATTACCATCCAAAAATAATAAAATTCCTACATTTTAAATTATTCAATTTTTTATTGCCAACAAGTTTGTTGTGTTTGATTTTTTTTTACTTGTGATTCCATAGTATTCCATTAAGACAGGCTATTGCTTTTTTGGCTGTAGCTGTAGATATTTGGTTTTTTCTTGATGTTGCATTATACAAATCTTGCAGTCCAGCAATGAGTGTATGATTGATGTTTGTGTCCTTTAGGATTTTCCAAAGTCGGTATTGTATCGTAAGCTTTTTGGAGATTAAGAAATGTTATATGTGTATCCCTGTTTGTGGCCATTTTCTTCTCAATGATTCGCTTGAGGCAGAATAAGTTGTCGTTACAAGACCTTCCAGCATGGAACCCACTTTGTTTTTCTGCTTGTTGTTCATTAGTTTCTGACTATATCAAGTCTCGTAATAATCTTCCATATAACTCATCGTACTAGTTACTGACAGTCCTCTGTAATTCTCACAATGCTTCTTATTGCCTTTTTTGCAAATTGGGACTAGATTTCCATTGATGCACAAATTGAAAATATCAGTTTCCTTAGTATATAATGTTTCGCTTCCAATTTTGAACAGCACAGGGTAAATATCTTGGAGGACCTGGTGCTTTCCCATTTTTTAGACTCTTTGGATTTGGCCATTTCTATAGTGATTTCAATTTGTTTTCTATCTTCTGTCAGTAATCCTTTGTAGAAATCAATCTATTTATTGGTTTCGTTAAGTTGCATCTGCGCATTTTCGTTATGTGGTATTGTTATACTTTTAATAAATTTCCATGGTTTCGTGTTTTTCCTTCCTCGAATATGTGTTAATTTCCTGACACTTTCGGTCCCAGAGCGCATTCTTCTCCTTTTGTATCAATTTCCTCGCATTTTTCTCTTTGCTTCCCTGTACTGTGCCAAATCTTCCTCTTTTTTTGTATTCAGCCTCTTTAGATAGGACGCCTATGCATCCCCAAATCCAGTTTGGGTCAAACTGTACAACACTAATATAATGATTGGACAATTAGTTAAGAATATTAAATTGCTTTCATCTCTTATATCACATCACATCATAACTAAATTGTCATTTTATTTATGGCTCATGTTTCAATAAGTTTTTACCCAAAAATATATCAGCGTCCGCATATTATTAGTAAATTTAAAAGTACTTCTTAAAATTTGAATAAAGCTCATCCAATGAAATTTTGGGTGCTAGATCGTCTAGATACGAAAATTTGCTTTTATCCGTTTTTTCTTAACCAAAAAGCTATTTCCCTTTCAGGTGAGGAGGTACGGGCCAGTGGTTTACATCCAGCCCTTGCCATCGACTCTGACGATATGGTGAGTAACCGATTTTTTTTCCTCTGTCATCGACTGTCGAACTCTAGTCTAACAAATCGCAAAAGTTGTCCCCGACTCCTTCCCCGAACCGCGATAGGGCAATCTAAATTTATATGCGGGCAGGATAAAAGGCTGATTTGCTCGACGGGAACCTATTAGACCCTAGGCTTTCGCCCCGGGGATAAGTTTTGCTCGCTGCCGTCGCCGCCGCGGGGATGCAAGCGTCCCCGTTCGAGGGAACGTCGTGCATGCAAAAGTCATTAGAAGTCTGCTCTTAAAAATAATACAAAATGACGTTTGCAAGGACTGTGAAATCTCCGTTTTTATCTTACACGACTCAATTTATAGTTTCAGTTCTATATGTTTGTACTAAACGCTTGTCCCTATCTGGCTTGACAATAATAATGTTCACTTGAGCTAAAACAACATTTTAATAAAACATTGTTATAAATTATGTAAAAGACATCTTTTTTATTATTACGAATATCAACGTAATATTTTGGATAGAATGAAATAATTATATTAACGATATAAAAAAATTAAATATTTCGGATAAAATGAAGCTTTAGTACATATTTTTAGTTGTTGTACGTAAAGAGAATATTTTCTATTTTTCGAGCATAAAACGGATAAGATTAAAGATGACATGTATCTGCAATATTGTGGACGTTCTATTTATAGCCTTCAAATCCCGTTACCTAAGTATTAACTCTGTGAAATTCTGAAAATTATCACTGATGGTGCTTGTGATTGAATAAAATACATCCCGCCCTCTTCATATGTACTTTTGAATTTTTCCGAGCATTTTAAGCATTTTAATTGCTGTCCGAGCGTCCGTTGAATTGAAAATGCCGAAAGTAAAATGTCACGTGGTGTCTGTATGGATTAAAAATCATCCAGAGCTATCTTTGGAAAAAGAAGAAGTATTCTGCAAAGCTTGTGGAAAAGTGGTAAGGTCTCATTAATTAATTTGAAATACGTAATTGAATATATTTTAAACATTGCGATTATTATTATTATTATTATTATTTTAAGCATTTTCTGTGCATACAATTCCGAACTCTGGTTATAAATAATAATAATGTTCTAAAATTTTTCTAATGCATTTAAAATAATAGTTTTAATTCTGTTTTGCTTTTGTTTTAATTCGGCCTTTGCCTACAAATTAATTTCACTCTGTCGGTTTTCGAATACTATATTTTTCAAAAAAACGGTACAGTTTCAAACGCATTCCCCGGTCAAGGCCTCAAAATTTTTTATTTTCAACATATTACGCCCACCATTTGTGAATCTTTGACTTGAGAGTGTGTTCTGTGAAACCAGGAGGTCTTTTCGCCCATGGACTATTTGTTTTATATTACACTTTTCGCACGACCATTAGTTTTTCGAAACAATTTTGCAAAACATCACAAACACAATCACCGGTTGACGAAGTGGCAATCAGAACAGGCAATCCTTTTTTTTATTGAATATAAAATAAAGCTGCAAGAAAAGTAACAGTTGTAATACAGCAGGTTACAAGTGTTACAAATAGGAATGCTGTTGTATGATAAACTTTATTTCAAATTTATTCTTATTTTTAGACAGCATGTATTAAATTATTAAAATTGCGTTAAAATAAGCTTTTAAATAAAATGAATTTACAAACATTTTTGACAAAGAAACCTTTTTTTATCTGCTGAAACAAGGAAGGTTACCAGTTGGTGTTATTAATACCAATAGATCTGCTAAAACAAGGCATGTTAGCAGTTGGCGTGTGTTGTGACAAATTAACGCCCATTAATATTGTACGCCGAAATTGAAATCGATGCGTAAAACTGCTTTTAAAATATTTCGAAAAATAAAGCTGTATTCGCGATTAGTATTGGAGGCGTCAAAAATGGGCACAAGAAGCTGACGACTTCAATTTTGCTCTTATTGCGGCGCCCCTTCCCCGATTTCTCTTCGATCGAGTGTCGAAGTCGATGTTCATCCGGTTCGCTTTTAAACCGACAGTTTAATTAGTAGAAAGCGACGTCGCCGACGTTCCCCAGAACGTCTCGACCCCCCACCCCCCTTACTGTTCCCCAACGCTAAAATGTGGAAAAGAGTTTGTTCCGGAAGTTTATCAATGTCTTTGTGAAGCAGTAGACGATGCTTATAGAGCAGGGTGTTTTTTAGTGTTGTGCCAGTACTGAAGGAGGTAATTCTTGTGCTCATTTTGAGAAAAAATATCATATGAACATATATGCCAGACATCTTGTTTTGTGGGCGGTGAGGTTGTTAAAACATTTTTTTATGTTATCTCAGAATCGAAATTTGGTAAGTGGATTCTCTGCATTAGGAGGCATTTTCGCTTTCACAACACTTTTTATTTCTACCAGTGGCGTCCGCCAGCGATTTGTATCGCATAGATATTTATAAGAAAAAATAATTTTCATAATAATACATGCACTATTTTCCACATCGTGCGACTTTCTGTCCGTGGTACCTACAGAATTTCGCAGTAAGTCGCTATGTTTACGGATAAAATCAGTTTTCTAGGAATGCGGGCGAAAACTGTCATGCTATAACTGAAACCAATTTTCGTTTAATGCCTGGATATGAATTACAAAGTCCATTTTTTTATCGGGTCATCTTGACGGAATTGACTGGATTGCACGATTCTGTGTTAAGTATTGGCCCATGTTTATAACAATTTATTTGATATGACAGTAGTAAAAAGTTATATAACTTTAAGCCAGAGGTCTTCTTTATATATATTTTTTTTGATCGATCGCGATTTCTCTTTCCTAAAGGAGCGTGAATCTTCCTCACCAACTGGTCTTCACCACTTTTAATAAACTTATTTTACTCAAGAACGGTGCATCTGACATGAAAAAAGCAAAATCTCAAAATCGCATTGGCGTACAGGTAGAAGGAAAAAAAAACTGTTGTTCTCTTGATGCACAGAATGCACTTACAAATTGTAGAAAGATGCCTGGAATCATTTCCTGAATATTGTAAAAGAAAACAAAATTGATACGAAGTTTTTTCTTAAAATGATCTCAAGGATTGCCCACTAAGGGACATTCCATTTTCCGCAATGTGGCGGCGAGGGCGGTTGTTTCGTCGGAAAAGCGGAATTAAAAATAACGATGATCTATATCGCAAACGTTCGTCGTCCCGTCGCCGATGCAGGGGTTGGGGGAGGACGACTCAAACGCATAATATATAAGGGGTATTTACTCGGAAAACGTACGAGGCGGATTTAAAACGGACCGAAACGTTTGTTCTTTGCGAATTTATTGCAGACGTGGTACGATTTTCTCGGAGACGGTCGCTGAACCCTCACAAATCATCTAGTAATGCGCGCGGGAACGCGATGGGCGCCGCCATTTTGACGGGGGCCTCCTTTGCGTCCTTCGACCGACCCCTTCTTCTTCTTCGAAGCCCAGAATGTTGTTTTCGCTCCGGTCCGAGTCGGTCTCAATTTTCCCCTGCAGTATCAACCTAGGTATAGAGTATTGAGGTCCCCCTAATATATGACATGATTAGATATGATACTTTGCGTAGTTTTACAGTATCCATTAATCCACCCTCCAAATATATCTGAAAGATTTTTTCAACATAGCAGAATCGGTGATAGTACACATCCCTGTCTCCGTTGTCCGATCGCCATCAATACGGATCTTAGCGGACTGTTGCCAATACGGTTCTTTAATTGTTCCTTGCCAGTCACGCCTGTGAGCTGGTAGTATCTCCATCGACCGATCGACCCCCACCCTATGTTATCTGCGTGCGTTTTAAATTTAATTTTTTCGTGTTATTTGCTATTGACGTCTTCTTCGTAAAAGTTTTGTGTGAATTTTCGGAGTCTAACTTATATGCAATATTGCGCTTGAGCGCATATAAATACAATGAGTTAGAGTTCTCCAAACGATATACCGTTTTTATGACATTTAACTTTGGTAAATTTTTATGAATGTGTAATCGCAGCTCCACCTCGCTTTGTAACCTTCAATAAATAATTATATTATATTATATTATATAATGAATATATTCACAATTCCACAATGACTTTCCAGAACATGCAAATTATGAAAGCTGACGGATTTGTGTAGAGTTTCATCGGTGAGATTCCTCTATTATTATTAGTCAATGCACTGAAAAATCCATTCTTACTTTTAAATCTTTATTATTAATGAAAATGAAGGAGTAAATTTAGCTATGAAACAATGTTTATAAAATAAGTTATTCTACATCTACTGTTGTCACTGGACTCGTCCCCCATATTTATAATTCATTCTGGCACTAGTCGAATTTTTTTTATTCGATAACATGTTCTACGCATTTTTCCAACTAGAAGAAGAAATTTTTTCTACTTCGCTTCTAATTAATTCTATTGTCTCAGAACAAAATTTCGGCGAGGTGTTGATTCTTCTTAAACTGAGCCTCAGTTCTATCGGAAGTTTTCTTTTTTAAAAATATTGGAATTTTACATTTTAAAAATTTAGTGTTATGGTGGAAGACGGACAAATTTAAATCCCCGCTCCTTGGTCCACATTATACTTATTATTAAAAGTTCCCGTCTTCCTTTCTTGATATATGAATTTCTCTGACATCCATCAAAACTTGTCTGTTATTGATGGTTTTGTAATAAACACCAATTCTTCGTACAAACGCACGCAAAGTCTCTTGGCAACAGTCAATGTTTAAAACACTTCATGTAAAGTTTTAATTGTTAAAACAATATTCTTCTGATACGCATCATATATCAACCGCCTCACTATTCCGCCCTGGTGCGTGTTTGATGATATTTTCGGGGTTTTTCTTTCTTGGACACCATTCATAACGATGTCACGTACGGTGTTAATTTTCACGATTTCGCCAACAAAGCAAACTGGGAAAGATTTTGTATTGCTTTAAATTGGACATCAGTTAAAGCTTTCTAATGTGTTTTTAATATAGGAGATCAACATATTTAATGGGCAAATTCAGCTTGAAATCGAGCTACCTCACGTCAGTCCCTACTTTTTAGG